ATATATATATATAAATAAAATAAAATGCACAATTTAAATTACTGTAACTTAACCCTAAAATTGGTTTGCTATAAAAAATGTTTTTCAAGTAAAAGATTATTTTGGACTACAAACATACACGAACTTGATAATTTGATTAAAGGGGTCCTATTATGCTCTTTTTCAAAGTCTTGATTTTGTTTTGGGGGTGTACTGTCCAGTGTGTGTTGTGAATGGCATGCCAAATGTCATGCCCCTTACCATAGCCGCCTGCGAGCTTCAGTGTAAATATTGCGTAAAAATCAAATCAATTTGAGCTCGATTTAAACCCGGATGATTGTAACCACTCTTAGTTTCATCTGCCTTGGGAAAGCTAGCGTGTCTCCGACATAGTGATAACACTCGTTGCCTTCTCTAGTGCAGCTCAACCAGGTCTCGTCCCATTCGTCGATATTTGTGATATCACAAATCCCGGAAAATATGCGTTGTAGTCCAAACGAGTCGTTCGTTGTAGTTTTTGAAAAGTGATTTCTGTTAAATAAAATATCTCCTTTTGAAGTGGACTTTGAGCTTTGTAACTTTGCAGATCTTTTTTATGTTCAAACAGCAACATTGCAGACTAACTAAAGTTGAAAAAGTGAAAAAGCATAATAGGACCCCTTTAAATAAGATAAATGTTCTCCAAAACATGGCACAATAGTGCACACGCTTATGTTCAAGTCTTGACTGCGACAAGACTTTCTTTTCAATAATCTACTAAATAATTTACCCCAAATAACAATATGACGAAGCTAAATGTTTGTTCCATTTATAAAATGGATATTTAAAATCATATCCATTTCAGTGCTTGCTCACAACTGCACTGTGCCTTTCTCATGTGTCCTTTAAGCACATGGCACAGCGTCCATGTGCCCAGTGCCGGTCAATACATGGAATTAGTTCTATTATTAAAATACAGCTTCCTCTATTCAAGCCCACACTGAGCAAATGACGTTTGAGACAAAAGTGCACAGAAAGGAATAGACAAAACTGAACACGCTACTCTAGAGTTCAGTTTCAGACCTAAATGAACAGCTAAGCAGAAAGCGACACCGACTCAAGCAGCTATAAACGTCTCAGGAGCTTCTGTGCCTGTGATGACAAACAACATGTTCAAAGGTCAGGTAGATAATAGGAAGTAGGTTAGGAAAATGTGTAGAGTGATATATTTGGTTTAGAGGATGCTTTTAAAACAGCTGAACTTACTTATAAAAAACAAGCGTGTCGTGTATTTTCCAGATTTATAGACTTCAAGTCATTTAAGACATACTGAAATATTGAAATATTTACAGTATACAATTTAGATTTTCTCAAGTTAATATTCATGGAAAACACACACAAAAGTATCTAATTTTTGCTCGCCCAATCAGTTTTACAGTGATTTTAAGCCAGAGCACCATAACACTGGTCTGAGATCAGTATGAACCTGTGATACTCACTGGAAGGCATGGTGTATGTGTCCTCTTCGTCAATGATCTCAGCGTAGTCGTCTGTTTCTGAAAAGGGAAAACAGTATTTTAAGTCCAAACATACCAGGACCAGCTAAAAACAGCCCTTCCAAAACCAGAAACACGTCTTCTCATCTCCGGCACGACTCACACACTCCTTGGCAATTACACACGTCGTCTCTTCCCCATTAACGCCACAGTGCTAAGTTTAAAAGTGTTTCGGTGTCTATGTATTCTGCAGGAGTTTGAGCTGGCTTCGATCACATCCTCACAGCTGTGATATCTGAGTGTGTTTAAAGAGCGAGTACATCTGGCTGAGAGGGGGAACGGTCTTTCCAAAGCATTGGTGTCACTGGGAAAAACAGATGAAGTCATGGGTAATTTGACAGCTATTGAGTCTGTCCTGTCTGGTTTTAAGAAAAAAGTTTTGTTAAATGTTCTCTACGCAGTAATGCGGCAAAAGTCAACCGATTTTGACAGCTCATATTGACTGTCAGTGAAGTCCCATGAGTGGATTGCTGTGAGCAAACACTTTCCCCTTACTGTGAGAGAAAGGGATGTGTGTTTTCAGCAGATAAAGTCTCCAACGTGGCACCGCTGACTTGTTTCACCAGATCAAAACATCAAATTCCATTGTAAGCTACTGCTGCGAGAGATCACAGATACACACCTAGGTATTTTGTTTTTCTTGAGTTCACAGGACTGAAACATGGGAACTGAATGCACTATCAAAAAGAAAAACACTGAAGCAAGCAACTGTTCACTTTTCTTCTGAGGTTTCAGAAAATAGTTCTTCTAGAGGGAGCAACTGCAGCTCACTTTGATTTATACTTAATATTCTTTTTGCACTCATTTCTGAAAAATAAATCTTGTGTTGAGTTAGTATTCAACTGCATGAAGTTCGGTTAAAACAAAAAATACATCTTATTAAAGGGCAAACTACAGGACTACCATAAAATTTGGAATCTGTTTATACAGTTTCTGGAAAATAACCAAATATTGGAATAATATGTGGATATGTCTGTCCTAGCCTTTGTATAATAACTTCTTTACCGGTGTAATTGAATTTTTAGATGCTTCGGGGGGGTGGGGGTCGGGGGATAGGAGAGTTAAAATAGATATAACATGTATTTTCTCTGGATATTTTCATGTTATCGTCTATGTCCTTTTTTCAATAAAAAGCAATTAACGCAGGGGCGGGGCTAGGGTTGGCCACCCCACTCACAACTGCTGCTTCTGTCCCTTTTTCTCTTGACAAGACATGCATTTATTCAGTTGCAGAACGACTGAGAATGGGAGACGGTTCAGACGCGTGCTCCACTTCACTTCAGCGCCAGGCGCGAGTCAAAACGGAAACAGTACTGTGCTCGCAGCGCGTGCTCTTCATCAAAAGCGCGAAATAAACTATGTGCATGCAATGTCGTGGTCAGTTAAGTCATGAAGTTACCAAAAAGGCGAT